CTACCTTTCCTCATGCAGGGCAGAGCAGGTGACAACCACAACAAGGAAGCTGGATCCCTTCCCTGCCTGTGGATTGTTCCCTGGACACAGCTCTAGTCTGTGCAGGAGCCCTGTGTAAGTCACTGCTACAGAATTACACAGGGAAGTTAATTCACCCTTCTGATCTGTTAATGACCACAAAAAGCCAGAATATCTCCATATATGCCCAGCTATGGGCTGAAGATCAGGTAGGAAACATGCTGGGAACATTATCCAGGGTTTTATTCTGCTTCAACTGCAGATTTTAGCTGCAGGCAGAGGAAGAACACATCCCTCATCACAATTTAGATAATTATACATGAGGTTTGCACACTAGTTTGAAAAGTAACTGAAGGCACGAAAATCTCCCAAAATCAGTAGGAAAGGGACTAGGATGAGGTAAAACATTTAGYATCTGGAGCAGTCTGTTCCAGAGAAAGGTGAGAGATGAGAAAGTCAAGGAAATAGACGGAAATACACGGAAATACCTCCTCTGTTGCCCTCTACTGTTGGCTTGGTCAGATGTGAAGCGAATTTTCCCTGTAGCTCCCCGTGCAAAGCACACTGCAGCCACAAATAAGCCAAGGAGCATCACGGGATGTGCCGCATGGGAGGGAAAACTGKGACCGGGAAGGGGCTCCTGGATTTGGAATGCTTGGAAGGAAAACCTGCAGCCTACCTGAGCACCACGTGGAAGGAAAAGGAAACAACACCTTTCCATGGAAARCAAGGGCAGAACTGGGCAGGTCCCAGCGCCAGGACACTGCTGGAGTGCCAGCCCCTGTCAGGTGCTGTGCTCAGAGAAATGCCTGAGAAACTTTCCAGGCTGGATCAGCCACCCCTCACCAGGACTGTCACATGCCAAGGGGAACACAGCAGTTTCAAAGCGTGACAAACACTGCTGTGTCCTGTCAGACTTGGGAACTGGACTTGGATGATCCCTGTGGGTCTCTTCCAGCTCAGTCTGTGATTCAACTGTGGAAATGTTCAGAGTAATTGCAAAGATTAAGAACTGACAGCAAAATCAGGTCCATGTGGCTTGGGTTTTTTTTTTCACAGGCATCAGCACAGAGAAGGGCACTGAAATCYCTTTTATCCTCAGCAAACAACCTTTGCTCCACCGTTTTGCAAAGATGCCAAYGACCATCATCCCTCAGCTCTCTGGACTGTGATTAACATCTGAACTGAAGGCTGGCCAGCCTGGAGTCAGGATTTGGGGTTCATGAACACTTCCCTGTGGGACAGATCCAGATCAGTGCCCCAGCTGGTCTCAAGGCCGACCCTCAGCCCCATGGATTACATTTTAACTGATTTGTCTCTGTGCCATTACCTGGGGTTTTCTTTCCTTGTTTTATTACTTTCCCTATTACCCTACAAAATTAAGAGTTGACTTCACCTTGTTGGCTGTGTTTCATCCTGACTGCACAAAACATYGAACAGCTCCTCTGCATCCTTCAGACAAAACCCCTGAGCAGCCATTCCAGGAATGGAATGAAACCCCAACAAAATCAATGCTCACARGGAGGGGGAACAAAAACCCTAAAAAATCCAAACCCTCCCCTCTTCAAGCAGGAAGAATCTTCCACACTGCCTGGAACAGGCTGAAGCTAAAGACACGAGAAAACAAAGCAGCGCTTGGGAATCCCACTGTAAACAGGAGCCTGTGTACACMCAACACACTGCAAAGGAACAGCTAATCCTTGGAAAAATGTCAAAGGCACTGTGCTGCTTCTGCCAACATCTGCACTGCTGCTTGCTTAGCAGGTCTGCCTGCCATCCATGGAACAGACCATTCCCTCATGGCTCCCTGCTCTTTACTTTTGGGGAGGCAATTTAAAAAAAAAAAAAAAAAAAAAAAGAAGGAAAAAAAGTGAAGTACAGCTGGGAATGCAAACCAGTCCCAGAAAACAGCAAGAAATTTGGGAAGCTGCAGGGTCAGTCAGGTATCTGTCACAGAGGAGCAGCTCTTGGGCCAGGTCCCACAARCTCCTTGGGCAGCACCTGCTCCTGGCTCTGATTTTCCTCACAAGGGCTCCTCGTATGGAGAGGAAGCAGCTGCCCCATTCCAGGAAATGGGATTACAAACACTACGCTTCAGCAATGCCACCTTGCTCCAAACCAGCAAGAGCTGAGCTGCTCCCAAACTCCAGKGCTACCCCTCAAAAATYCACTGGGATCCYATAAAAATCCCCACTGTTCCCCATATAAAAGCAAACTCTGACGTGACAGGACCTGCTGTACAAATTCCTGCATTTTTGTAGGGTGTACAGAGAATTGCATCAATCCAGGAGCAGTCCCACCTTAAGCACGCAACCTTACCTGAGCCATCAAACTGTTATATATATATATATATATGTATTTTTTTTAAAAAAGTGAAAATGTAAACATATAAATATAAATCTGTATCTTGTGTTTCTATCTGTGTCTTGGCATGCAGAGGTTAGACACACCAGCAAATGATCCCTTTTCCTAAGATCCCATGCAGTAGGAACCAGGAATAAACTCAGTTGCTTTATTATTTGTACATCAACAGGAAATACAATTTGAATACAGAGATTTTTAAAATGAGATTTAATCTAGTGCATTTAGTAGAGGATTCACAATTTTCTGTACACGAGTATAAGTACCTCCAATAGAAATTCCTTACCCAAGGCTAAAACTCGTGGTACAAATGAGCAGCAAAACAAATCCCCCAACTCCTCCCATGGTCAAGTCCACAGAAATGAGGATATGCCTGAGAAACAACTATGTCACAGCTCTTCTGCCAAGCCAAAAACATGGGAGAAGAATGCAAGCACAGATTTTATCAAATGGCCACTTGGCAAAGATAGAAACTGCCCTGAAAGCATCCTGGCAGCCACAGCTTGTGGCCTCAATTTTAGGAAGGATTTGCTAAAGACACTGAYTTCAGCTTGAAGGCTCTTCCCTAGCCGTGCCAGGACAGGACACGCTTTTCCTCCTGCACTCCAACACTACCTTCCCAAACCACAAAAAGTGACCACAATGTGTTTGGTACACCCTCATTTCCCTCTCTGCACTCTCAGGAAGTGGACAGGTGTGGTGGGAGGTCCCTGTGTCCCTGCTGGTCCCTGACCCCTGGCCAGCACATCCCAGAACCAGCACAGGGCAGTGCAACCCCCCAGCCTGGTCCCCCGACAGTATGAAGGTGACAAAGGATGACACAGATGTTTCACCAACCTGCTCATTCACACTGAAGCAAATGAGGGAGAAATCTCATCATCTGCTCCGTGGGCGATGAAATTGTCACAGAGAACAGTTGAGGGCAGATTGGAATGGAAGAACACAAAATTCCTCCTTTAGCACAACCAAACCCAGAGGGAAACGCCTGCCCACACCCCCAGCTGCTAAAAGTGTCCTGACAGATTTGAGTCATTTGGGTCCTACCTGCAAAAAGGGAGGGCTGCAGCCCTTTTGTTGGTCCTCTCTCCACTAATGACTACCAGTATGCTCTGTTTTGGGGACTGAGTTTATTACCAAAAGACAAAACCCAAGAGCTGGGATTTATTTGTTCTAAGAACCTCAACATAGTGACAAGGAAATTTTCTGAGCACTTTTTTTCTGAGACTGAATGACACCTTCAGTCATAAGAGATCACATTCTCCATGCAGTATCTGATCATCAGCTCATCTGGGGCTGTGTTTAGAAATGTTATTACATAAAAAGTTCAGAAATCATTAGTCCATAAAATTCTCATATTGCTTARCAGATCTGACTTGAAAGTTCTCGACTGTGCCATAAAATCTTAAAATGTCTTTCCAAAGGTTTTACTGGTTCTATAACCATTAAGGAGACCCAAACAGAGGGATGTGAGGACCAAAGTCTCAGATAAGAGGTGTCACTGCTCTCATTAAACATCATTAACATTTCCAGTCAAGCCTTTCAAAAAACTCCAAGAGCAAATTTACAAGTGTGCTGTGGGGCATGAGATAAGGAAGGTCAATAAAATGTGCAAGAAAACCTCAGCAGGAAGCACAGAAGGAAAAAAAACCTGCTCTTGTCAGAGTTTGTGCAAACTTCACAGAGCCAGGAGTGCAGGAAGGGATGAGATCACGACCCACGTGAAGAACTTGAAATGATTTTGACTCTGTAACTGTCTCCTTTTAGAAGACATGTGCTGCATGTATTGTGGTGTAAATGTATTTATAGTGCTACTTCCCTGGAATCTAAATTAGGTATCAATACAGGGATGCAGCTGAGCTAGGGAAACAGAGCTTGGGCTCTGCCCAGTTCCTACAAACACTGCAGGGGGSTTGAAAAGGCATTTTCTTGAGAGATTTTTGTAAAGTCATTTTCTAGAGAGGTTTTTAGCTGGAACGCCACCAGAGTATCAGGTGGTAACCAGGTCAGTAAGTCCCAATCACGAATTTAATCTCAGAAATGCCATATGCTAAACAAAGCTGAATATGTTTCATTACAAAAATTCTCCAGCTCTTTTCATGACAAAGATTCACAGCAGAAACAAAGAGGYTTTTTCCTTTAAGAGTAAGTAGTTCAGTGGAACTTAACACCAAATCACTTTTGAATCCAAGGAAAATTTCCAATCCATTTAAAARTATGTGAAATTCATGCTGTTGGTGCTTTGTTCCATTCCTCAAATGGGAAGTTTGTTCTTTCCCTGCTTTAGTTTCCCTTTCTGCAGTGTCCTCTTACATGACAAACTGAAACACAAAGCCAAACTGAGAACTCTGGGCTCCATGACTTTAGTATTTAACTGAAATAAATACTGCCCTCAGGCCGTCTATCAAAGGAATTGGATGCAAGAGTAACAATCAACGTTGGAGATCCTGGAAAAAGAGATCCAGRGGTATAGACTTGGCATAAAACCCAGCAAGAGCTTTCTCCATCAGAACAACAGAAATTAAAATTACGATTAATCAGATGCATTTTCTAAACCATCAGGGCAATGCCTGCAGACAACACCACCATGTTCATGGAAAATGAATTCCAGTCACAAAAAAATGAATTCCAGTCACAAAAAAAGATCAAATGCCCCCAGAATCAGGAAATGTCATAATGAAATGAATTGGTCAGTGACTCAATCTCCCAGGTTTCTGGCAATTCCTGTGTCAAATATAAGGCCTCAAACCTCAGGTAATACATTACTRGTACCAAAATATTATTGGGACAGGATTTTCAAATCTCCTTTTGGCATTGGCTGAGCTCTCAATCAGTCCCACACAAACAGAGTTATTGACTCCCACTGTCCCTGCAGTGACTCCACATGGATTGAACTGCTCTGTTGGATTCCCAGAGCTATCTCTCCAGGTTAATCACAGCTCCCATCCTTCCAGCCATCCCTCCAGCGCTCATCCACACGGGAGCAGTCAAATTCTGACTTCCCCAGCTTCCTGTTCACTTCATTGTGGAGGAGACACAGCCACTGGGAGAAGTTACTCCTGGTGCTCGTATCGGGTTGGTTTGTCCGCAATCTGCAAACAGGGAATGGGAAACAAATGTCAAAGRAGTCAAAGCTTATCTAGGATAAAAAGCAAAAAGTACTGGAATTCATCAAAGCACTGAATTTAAATTATTAAAATAAGAAAGAATATATGAAAAAAAYGAGCAGTTATTTTGTCCAGTGATGCCCGCTAAGTTAATAATTATGTTTCAAACTTTTTTTGAGTGATCAACCAGAAAAGAGGAGTTGAAACTTGTGAAAAAATAAGCTGAGAGATGCAGAAAACACTATCACAGATCTTAGAATTATTTGGATTGGAAAGGASTTTAAAGATCATCTTGTTCCWAGMCATGGGCAGGGRCACCTTCCATCAGATCAAAAACCACAGCCCATTGCAGTCTTCACAACTGAGGTTGCCAATACAGGGGATTTTTGAGGGTAGAAGAACACTTGTCTCCTGAAAACCAAACTATTCCAAGTCCCAGTCTAATTCCACRACTATTCACAAACCCAGTTTGAACCAGAAAACTCTGACATCGTCTCAGGGAAGCCCTGGAGGCAGCACAGAACTCAACCGCATGAGGACAAGTGTTTGCTTTTTGAGTAAGTGCATCTGTGATTGATGCAATAATGGAAGGAACCAGTTCAGGTAGCTACAAACCCCAARTGCAGGAAGAGCTGCTGATATGCAAAATAGCTGCTGCAGCCCAGCATTTCCACCAACCCCTCGAGCACAAAATCCTGCTAAGAGCACTCACCTTTCCCTCAGATCCTCAGAAAACCCGCTGAGGAAACTCACCTGTCCTTCAGATCCTCAAAAAAAAAACCCACTGAGGAAACTCATCTGTCCTTCAGATACTCAAAAAACTCACTGAGGCCACTCACCTCTCCCTCAGGTCCTCAGCACAGTGCTCGCAGGGGTAGAACTTGGAGAAGAGGTTGATGAAGTCCYTCATCTCCCTCTGCTGTGCCCTCGAGGGCCGGTCAGGGTAGTAGGCGGCCATGGTGTGCAAGAAGGCCCAGGTGCTGCGGCCCAGCTGCTCGCTGTCCAGGGGACAGTCTGGAGGGGGCTCCTTCTCCTCTGCGACCGCCACGTCCTGCAGCGGGACAGGGGGTGTGAGGGGACAC